TGGAGGCCAAACTTGGACGAGGCCCGGTGACACAAATATTTTATCAGAATCCAGTTTTTTTGCTAACAACCAAATAATATTTTATAAGGTTGAAGTTCAAGATGACGAGGATCTTCAGAATATGTTTTCCAGTCATGTGTATTATGGGTACGACTCTATTGAGTTGTACATTATGCTGCGAGAGCCTCAGGTGACACAAGTGGTTGATCCTTTGGAGACCGAACAAGCAGAGGTAGATGCAGTTGATGAAGAAGAAGAAGATGACGAGTTAGAGTTTGACGAAATGGTGAATGATGATTCCAAAGACGATGGGATACTTGGTATTCCTGCAAACGAGATCTACACACCACCTCCGCACATGACAAACTTCAACATGGGCGGAGATGAACCATCTTCTGATTTAATTTTCAATCCGTATATGCAGTTGGATGAAAACTTAAAAGAGAAGGACAAGTTTCGTAACAGAGAAGAATGTATCAGAGCCATCAAAAAATTCCACATGCTCAACTCGGTCGATTTTAAGGTGGACCGTGTAAACCCATAAAGGTACAAGATCAAGTGTGTCCACCCTGATTGTATGTTCAAGATCACTACATCATACATATTAAGAGGTGATTGCTGGGTCATAGGTTCCATGTCTACCCACACTTGTGTCAGCTCTACCCAATCACAGGACCATCGAAAACTTAATTACCATCTCATTTGTCAAGAAATCCTACCACTCGTCAGCAACGATCCATCTTTGAATGTGAAAACCATCATCTCCCACATCACTACGGTTTTTAACTATACTCCGTCTCACCGTAAGGTGTGGTTAGCAAAGACCAAGGCGATTGAAAAGGTGTACGGAAATTGGGAGGAGTCATACCAAGAACTTCCTCGCTACCTGAATGCACTCAGGACTTATTCTCCGGGTACTGTTTACATTCTGGAAACAGTGCCAGCATACGCCCAAGATGGTAGTCAACTAAACGGAAACGGAATATTCAGTCGAGTGTTTTGGGTATTTCAACCTTGCATCACAGGGTTTACATCATGCAAACCAATTATACAAATTGAAGGGACTTGGTTGTATGGGAAATACAAAGGCACGCTACTGATGGCAGTTGCACAAGATGGCAACAACAACATTTTCCCAATTTCCTTTGCCCTAGTCGAGGGGGAGACCAGTGGTGCTTGGATCTTTTTTCTGAAAAACCTGCGAACACACGTGGCTCCTCAACCAGATCTCTGTTTGATCTCGGATAGACATGCATCCATTGAAAGTGCATACAATAATACTGCAAACGGTTGGCATGACCCTCCTTCTACGCATGTCTATTGCGTTAGACATATCGTCCAAAATTTCACGAGGGAGATCAAGGAAAAAACACTAAGGAAAGCGGTTATGAATGTGGGATATGCATTGACACAACCCACATTCAAATATTACCACAACGAGATCCGTTTGTCAAATCGGAAGCCGGTAGGTGGATCGACAATATTCCGGTAGAAAATGGACTAGGTCATACGACAGTGGCCAAAGATGGGGGCACATGACAACAAATCTAATTGAATCGATGAATGGGGTATTCAAAGGCATACGAAACCTCCCGGTCACTGCTTTGGTAAAATCTACGTATTTTAGGATGGCTTCGTTGTTTTCCAAAAGAGGTGAAATATGGAATGCAGTGTTGCAATCTGGACAACTATGGAGTGAAAGCTGCATGAAGTAAATTAAGGAAGAAAGTGCCAAAGCCAACACCCATATGGTTATACGGTTTGACCGACACAGCCACAACTTCATTGTGAAAGAGACAATCGACCACAACGAGGGCCTGCCAAGATAAGAATATAGGGTTGTACTACCTTTTCATTGGTGCGATTGTGGCAAGTTTCAAGCCTTTCGTATGCCTTGTTCTCATGTCATTGTCGCGTGTGCTTATACCCATCAAGACGCCGTACAACTTCTGTCACACATTTACAAATCTGAAACGTTGCTCAACGTTTACAACAATAACTTTCCTTTGGTAGCAAAACCAGATTATTGGCCTGCATACCAAATGCGAAGGAACAAGAAGGGTCATCCCAAAAGTAAGCGCATCACAACAGAAATGGACTCCCTTGACAAGCTGGAAAGAAAGTGTGGTTTATGCCGTCAGGTCGGACAATCGCAAAAATTGTCTGAATCGAGCATCTGCCTCGACCATATAAAAATTGTATTACATAAAATCTTTCCTTAATTATGTTGTAAACATTAGGGTTTTTTGTTAACAATATTTTCTACAATAAACATTGCGCGTACAAGAAAAAAAACATGATATTCTATCTACAAAATTACAACTATTAAAACAATTTCATCTGACCCATGCATCATCAACATTACGTCGCTGTCTGTTTTGACTTCCTCCAACCATACATTAGGTCTTCCTGTCGCATGTGAGATTGTTGTTCGTCTTCGATGGACCCTTCGAATTTTTCCCCTCCACGATGTCTCCATCTATCCATCGCATCAACTCCCGCTTCAGACGCTCCAAGGAGTGAATGTGCCAGAATTTCATTTTCATCGCAGGTTTCATGGCGGAGAAGATAACGTAACCATCTCTGGTAAAAATAATGGGCGATGTCATGACGCAAATAACAAAGTAAAAACTAAGAAAACAATGCGAGAAAGTGTGAGAAATGACGGAGAAACAGACGAATTATTTATAAAAACAACATTTTGTCCTAGGAGCCAAGTGAGATGGCGCCTCCTCTCACTTTTAAAGTGCATGCGCCATCTCACTTGGCTAAAAGAGAGAGGAGGCGCCAAGTGAGATGGCGCCTAGGGAAAAAAGCTTGGTGGAGGCACCAAGTGAGATGGCTCCTCCTTTGGAGAGCCATCTGAAACATGGTTATTTGCGTAATTTTTTCCGAAACGTGGTTATTTACGATTTTTTTTAATATCTGATTATTCAAAAAAAATCAAAAAAGGGTGATTTAACATATATTTTTATTTGAGATTCAAAGTAAACAATTTCTGAATGTATTATAAAATAGAAAGTGTGGTGTATATATAGTTAGTATTTGGGTATATAATATTTAGATGGGTATATAATTTGAAATGAATTTGATAATGATAAAACAAACAATAATCATATCAATTTAATTGTATTAAATGATCATATAAAAAAAGACTCGTGAGATGAAAAAAGAAGAGAGAAAAAAAAAAAAATTTAACTTTGAAAATAAGAAGTTTGTCTCTTAAATAAAAACAATTATTAATTAAAATAAATTAAAATTTTATTATCATATTTATGTGTTAATTTTTATTTATATTATCCATCAACCATCAGTAATAGTAGGTTAGCATAATTTTTATAATTTTGAATATTTATATAATTACCCAATTATTATATTAATTATTAATTGTTAATAATTCAATAGTTAAAAGTTAATAAATATATAAAAGAAAACTGTTTTATAATTTTTATTTTTGAGTTGACAGATTATATTTATTAGATATTAAATTCTCAAATTTGTGAATTTTTATTCTCAAATATATCATTATTGTTTCTTATCTTATAATTTTTATCTTTTCATTCAAATTAATAAAAATTAAAAGTACAATTATCATGTATTTTTATATTGTAGTTTTCTCTTTATTTATTATAAGTATTTATATTGTAATATTTATAGGTTTTATGGAAGTACAGTTAATTAGTATCAGTAAAAGATAATTTCATAGTTTTGAATATTTAAATGATTACATAATCATTATATTAATTATTAATAATTTAATAGTTAAAATTTAATAAATATATTTAAAAAAATGGCTTTATATTTATATTTTTAAATGACAATTTAAATTTATCGGATATGAAATTCTCATACATATCATTGTTGTTTCTTATATTTTAATTATTCTCTTCCCATTCAAACTAATAAATATAAAAAGTAGAATGATCATATATATATATATATATATATATATATATATATATATATATATATATATATATATATATATATATATATATATATATATATATATATATATATATATATATATATATATATATATATATATATATATATATATATATATATATATATATATATATATATATATATATATATATATATATATATATATATATATATATATATATATATATATATATATATATATATATATATATATATATATATATATATATATATATATATAATATTATAGTTTTTCTCTTGTTCTCATAGGACTATTTATATTGAAATATTATAGGGTTGATGATGTTGAATATTTATATGACTATCTAATCATTATATTATCTATTAATAGTTTAATATTATAATTTAATAAATATATTAAAAAAAACTTTGTTATAATTTTTGTTTTTGAATCGACGATTTATGTTTATTATATTTAAAATTTTCAGACCGGTAATTTTTTATTTTCAACCTCGTTATTGTTGTTTTTTATATTACAATTTTTCTCTTATCATTAAAACTAATAAAAATATAAAATATAATAATTGTATATTTTTTATATTATAGTTTTTTTAAAAATTATTTTCTGATGAATATTTATATTCCAATATTTTTTTATTGAGAGACCAAAAATTTATTTCAATAGAACGATCATAAATTAATCAACAGTTTTTCATTTCTATGTTTTAATATATATTGGATAAAAGAATTTTTCTTTGTATTAGTTAATTATTCTTTTAGGTATTTGTAAGGGTATCTTTTTTTAACAAAAAGGTAATGCGGGTAGTTTATATGCATTTAATTTCTTAGATAAATAGATAGTTGATAAGAAAAGAATTAGGGTAATCCAATAGGATCTTCATATATTGAAAAAGAAATAAAGTTAATATATTACGTGATATGCTTGGTAAAAAAGTTTGACACATGTTAGGAAAGTTATCAAATATCATTAAGAGGAGAATCTCATATTTGACAAAAATAAAATAATAATATCTGACAAAAACTATTAAATATGATGTGTTAATTTTCAAGTGTATTTATGCTAAAAGAAAATGTTTATTCAAATATCAATGATGTTTCTTTTGGTATTGTTTATGAGTTGTTTTTCTCTTGGGAGAGGCATAGATTGTGGTGGTAATAAAGTTGCAAACACCATCATTGTTGATCAAGGGGGAAAAGGAGCATTTAAAACAGTTCAAGCTGCCATTGATTCTGTTAAGAATCCAAATGATCGATGGGTTCTAATTAAAATAAATCCTGGTGTATACAAGTAAGTAAAAATATTGTTACATGTTAATTTCATACTAGTAAATATGAATTTTTATAATGTTTTCATGTTTTGAAATTGTGTAGGGAAAAAGTTCTTATTCATCCAAGAAAGTCCTGCATTATTTTAAAAGGATCTGGTAATAATAACACAATCATTACCTACAATACTGCAGCTAATGATGTTGGCACATCTAATTAGTGCAACATTTCATTCTTCTCCACCTAATGTAGTTTTGAGTGGCATTACATTCAAGGTATATATAATCAATAGATTCACTAATATTTTTATAGAAAACATCTTGGTCGATATAATAGCGATGATTTATCATATAGAATGTGTTTCTCTTAATATTTTTAATTCAGGTCTCGTTCAATGGTGACAATTTTTTATATCAGATTAATTCATAGAGTTGGATTAATTTTTTTTTTTTTTCAAATCTTCGATAATTTCTAAAGCACTTTGTATAATTGTAGAACACACATGGTACTGAAGGACCAGCAGTAGCAGCTTCAATATATGGTGACAAGACTGCAATTTTTGAATGTAGTTTCACTGGTTATCAAGATACGTTGCTTTCATCAAAGCGGCGTCAATATTTCAAAAATTGTTATGTTGAAGGTGAAACTGATTTTATTTTTGGTGAAGGTCAATCTTATTTCGAGGTAATTAAACTCACATTTAAATCGAGTTCTTTCATTTAGATGAAACATGTTAATCACTAGTAAGAATTTATTTATAATCATGAATTTTTACTTGTTGTAGAATTGTAAGATCAATGCCACTCAAGCGAAGTCGATACCCGTAGGTTTTGTCACCGCACAACGTAGAGATTCATCGAATAATCCAAATGGTTATGTTTTTAAAGGAGGACGCATAGATGGAAATGGTCAAGTGAATCTTGGTAGACCTTGGGGTCCTTACTCAAGAGTTATATTTTGGGAAACATATTTTTCGTCTGTGGTAACTCCTCAAGGATGGGATCTCTGGAATTTAACAATTGGTGATGCGTAAGTTTTATTTGTTACATAAGAGAAAAGATAGACTTATTCTTGATAGACCTATTCTTACGGTAGATCTATTCTTCAGGTCCTTATAATTCTGTTAGTTAGGGCCAAGTTTTTGCTTGAATAAAATAACAAGTGAATTTATCTCTCAGCAAATATTGAGTCAGTATTTCAGTGTGTGAACACAAGTTTCTAACAAGAAAAACCATAACTCATTTGAATGAATATACAACATTTAATAAATATTTTATGAAACTATATGTATATTTAATTTGTAAATAAATTTATGCAGGCAAAATACTGTCTTTGCTGAAGTAAATTGTACAGGACCAGGGGCCAATACTGAGAAACGAGTTGGGTGGGAGAAGAAACCAAGTAGCTTAAACTTAAATGAATATAGTTTGTCGTCTTTCATAAATAAGGATGGATGGCTTGATGATTTACCATCAATGTAATTGAAATTTCTTATCTTAATGGTGACATTTAGTATGATTACATATAAAATATTCCTACTATGATTCGATTGTCTTTTATAATCATTCATTTTTTAGATTAAAGAAGGAGTGTCGGCATCTATTTATTATTCCATATAGTTTTGTTTTTTTTATAAAATTGGAGTTTCAATTTTTTAAATTGGGAATTGTGCAATTTGTTGTGAATGTTATATTTTGAGTAATGCTATTCTTACATCTAATTTCTATACTAATATTTACTCTTAATATTATTTATTATGTATTTATACATCGAAAATATTATTTATTATGTATTTATACATCGAATAATGTTAAATAAAAAAGTGCATGAATAGTAATATGAACAATAACATGCATCTGAATAGCGAATAATGACAAACTTAATTAATGAAATATAAAAAAATTAGTTAAATGAAATGATAAGTTGATTAATAAACGCTCAAGTGTTAAAAAATAATTTAGTAGTAAAATAAAATTGTTAATGAAAAGTAAAAAGTTGTTTAATAAACATCTATATATTAAAAATAATTTTTAGTAGTAAAATAAAATTCGTTAATGAAGTGTAAAATTTTGGTTAATGAAATTATGAAGTTGGTTAATAAAAGTCTGGATATTAAAAATAATTTTTAGTAGTAAAATAAAGTTAGTTAATGAAGTATAAAATGTTGATTAACGAGATTATGAAGTTGATTAATAACACTCTAATGTTGAAAGTAATTTTTAATAATAAAATAAAATTGATTAATAAAATATAAAATATTGATTAATAAAATTATGAAATTAGTTAACGACACAATTTTATATTACTATCTCTTAATCTAAACAAATTTAAAAATTAGAAAAAAAATTTATTTAAAAAGAAGATTTATTATTATAATAATATATATATATATATATATATATATATATATATATATATATATATATATATATATATATATATATATATATATATATATATATATATATATATATATATATATATATATATATATATATATATATATATATATATATATAAATATATATATATTATATATATATATATATATATATATATATATATATATATATATATACATATATATATATATATATATATATATATATATATATATATATATATATATATATATATATATATATATATATATATATATATATATATATATATATATATATATATATATATAGTATATATATATATATATATATATATATATATATATATATATATATATATATATATATATATATACATATATATATACACTACAACTTACCTATATAAAGTATTGATGTAAAAAGTAAAAATAGCATTACTCTTGTAATTTATATGTATTAATACTACAACTTACCTAGAGTATAATCAAAATTCGAACCAACTTGAAATTTTAACACTACTACAAGTTACCTAAAATATGATCAAAATTCAAACAACATGAAATATGTTAACATTATATTTGTTAGTTGGGAATCGATTTCCAATAAATAGCTTAGTTATATGTTCACTTTATGATCCACAATTCAGACTTCGACATATAAAGAAATAAAATTGTTTAAGGCACTCTAAACATTGTTATCACAGTGAAAAATAAAATATGTTTATAGAATTTGAAAATACATCTTCTGACACGCTCCAAATATAATTAGGCACTAAGGCTATAATTTGAAAATAAAATTGTTCTTAAATTAGGCACTAAGGCTATATAAAAAAATTATGAAAATGCATCTTTTTTTATCTTACGGACACTATACCAAATTTGGCTTTTAGCAGCACCCCTACGAAAGCGCTTTTAGGAAAAGCGCTGGCATAGGCTTCGCTAAAGACAAAATTAAAAAACACGCTAAAAAAGCGCTCTTATAGTGGGGGGGGTATGAAAGCGCTTTTAAAAAGCGCTCTGGTAAGGGGGGGTATGAGAGCGCTTTTGAAAAGCGCTTTGGTAAGGGGGGGTATGAGAGCGCTTTTGAAAAGCGCTTTGGTAAGGGGGTATGAGAGCGCTTTGGTAAGGGGGTATGAGAGCGCTTTTCAAAAGCGCTCTGGTAGGGGGTGGGGTACAAGAGCGCTTTACCCTTAAAAGCGCTGGTATAGCTACATCTACTAAGGCGCTTTTCAAAAGCGCTTTCATAGCCTTTTTAAAATTAAAATTTTTAAAAACAAAATTATACAAACCCCATCCGTCTTCTCACATCAACCTTCATTCCAAAGTCCAGACCTTCCATAACCTACATCTACTGTTACGAACTTCCATAACCTTCACTCCTGCCTCATCTCCGCGACCGTTACTTCACTGCTGCCGCCATTCTTCTTCTATTTCCATTTGTTCAAAGCTCCGTCACTTGCCGTCACCGTCACTTGCCGTCACTTCCTCAGCCATCTCCGTCGCTCCTACTTCAAAGCTCTTTGTCAAGTCCAAACGTGGTTCCCTGTTATCATCATCAACAACATCCAACTTCCAATTTTCTACAAATTATCTTAGGTAACATTACTTGATTTTCATAGTTTTGTTGAATACTTGAGTAATTTCTGCATGCATATTATGTGTTTGTGATAATGTTTATGTGAATTTGTGATGTAGATTTTAACATAGATTTGTAGACATAACATTTGCACATTAGGTGTACGTAGAAATTCCTCATAGAATTGAATTGCTAATTCTTGACATAAGAACTAATTCTTGATATTGTGCTAATCTATTGACATAGAATCGTGATTACTAACTACTGTTGTGTTTGTTCTATGCTATTCACCTCAATGTGCACAATCATGTTTACTAATTTCTAGTAATGAAAATGATCTTTACAGTGTTCTTCACTATCCATTTCAATTGTTTTCAACAACAAACAAGCTAAAGCGCTCAAGATTTAAGGTATCACTATCTTTTGATGCTTCACTAAGTAAGTCATTTGTGATGGATGTCAAGGAAACTTGTGTATTTTTATACTCTTCATTCAACAGTTTCTTCAAAATAATGTCAAAGAAACTAATGTCATTGTTCTTGTTTACCCTAACCAATTGATATTTTCGCATTCCAGGAGAACAATTTCTTTCTCTCGTTCAATTGCTTAAGTAATCTCTCTCATTCAAGTAATCTCAATCCTCCAGAGGCCTTCACGAACTGGTTTTTAGAAGTCCATCTTCTTCATCTAACTTGCTTCCTTCCTCTTAAATCTTAAGTAAGATTTAACATTGTTTTTAAAAATTAATCTTGAAGTAATCTTGTGTTGTTGTAGGTTGGTGTTTTAGTTTGAAGTATAATATTGTGATAATGTGATAATGTGTTTTTGGTTTGTTTTATTAAGTTGATGTTCTGGTTTGAAGTATTGTGTTTGTATTGTGATAATGTGATAATTTTTTTTAGTTTGGTGCCTTAGAAGTTGAAATTTTGTAAACTTTAATTATTAGTTACATAAGACATTAATAGAAAAATGGTAGTGTTTATTTTTTAATTTGTTAGGAGTAGAAGGAATTTGTTTATATTAGAGGTGGTTATATTTTTAATGCGCTATAATGTAGTGGAATTGGAATTTAGAGAATTGGTACTTACTAATATGTGTAAGATTGGAACTTAGATAATTTTGAGATTTTGTTGTGTTGTGTTAATTTATTTAATTGATTATGCATCACAAAAGTGATAATGAAGAGTAGAAAAAATGATTCTTTTTTCAATAGGAAAGAAATAGATGAAGAGAACTTAACCCCTATTAGTAGTGGAAGTAATAGGATGGCCTTGAATCTGTGCAATTTAGGAATTCCAGTTATGAAAGTCATGGACATGCCTTCCAAAACAACATCAAGAATGGGGAGGGAATGAATTTGCTGTAGTAATGAAACTGTTATTTCCCACCCATAACAAACAATGTAGACTAAGGTTTATATATTTAAAGTTCCTTAAATAAGCTTATTGTTCTAATCTAAGGTTTATATTATTGTGTTTATGAAGTCTGTTTTGAACTTTGTGTGAGTTTTAATAGTTTTGTTCTTTGTGTGAAACTCGTCTCATTGGTTGAAGAATGTCGATGTTTATAAATTATCTTTAGTCCTGATTCTTAAGCAACATAATTTTTTGATTCAAGTGTTAGCATATGTTCGGCCTTTATGTATCATGTTCTTAATAGAATTTAAATAATTAAGATGATGACAAATAGGTGAAAGAAATACTCTATATGTTTTTTCTAACATTTTTTTTATGTTTTAGGTATCTCTTCAAAGCAAGAAAAATATTACTGGACTGCTTATTTATTATCTATGGGTTTAGTTTCTTTTGTTGTTAAATACTTTATTATTTTTAGTAAAAGGGGGTTGAGTTTTGAGGACATCTTTATTATTTTTATGTAATTTTTTGAAATGTTTCTCATATAAAGTTAGTGTTAATAGTGTACTAATGTGCTTTAGTTTGTTTGATACAGGTTCAATGGCTCCAGATAGAGATGCTCCACCTCAAAACCCACCTGAAAACGCACAAGAAAACTCACAAGAAAGAGTTGCTTCAGATACAAATGCTCCACCTGATACTGAAGCAAAAGAGGTGGCACGAGGCATCACTATTATGAAGGGAATCATTCGACATAGAGACCAAGGATTAGTATACCGATTGGAATGGAATTCTGATAAACAACCAATTGGTCCTAATTCTGCAAAGTTGACAAGTTATATTGGTACACTTGTCCGTATGCATATTCCGGTCTCCGTACCTACCTGGAAATCGAAAACGAAAAATTCAGAATTGGAGGAGAAAAAACAAGCGATTTGGGAAGAGCTTCAGGTATATATCATATATGGTTAATTGTTGTTATTATCTTGACGATAAATTGTTTAAATTACTTATACTAACACTTCAGGTATATATCATATATGGTTAATTGTTGTTATTTTTGCAGAGGACTTTTGAGATACCAGATGAACGTAAAAGCTACATACTTAGTTTGGCCGGCAAAAGATATAGAGGGTGGAAAAGTTTTTTGACAAACACCTATCTTAA